GTGGGCGGCCGCGGGGCGAGCGCGCGGGGCCATCCGCTCTGCCCGCCTTCCTCACGCTGCTCCCTGCGACCAGGGCAAGTTCACGACGGCCAGCGACGTGTGGGCGTTCGGCGTGACGCTGTGGGAGACCTTCACGCTGTGCCGGGAGCAGCCCTACTCCCAACTATCGGACGAGCAGGTCATCGAAAACACCGGCGAGTTTTTCCGGGACCAGGGCCGGCAGGTAGGGACGGGCGAGCCTGGGAGCCCAGAGATGTGTGCAAAGATTTAAAGTTACCAGAGAGAAAGCTTGGCTAAACACAGGTTTTATGGAATGGGGTGCACTACATCAAAGAAAAATCTGCAAAGAGTCCCCAGCATTTGTACAGGAGAGCTGGGCAACACCAGAGGTGCAGTAGGGACAGCCGATGCCGCACTGGGCTGTATCTGTGGTTTACAGAATCAGGCACTCTTTGCCTGCTGGCCTCTGCACGTGCTTTTTCCCCCTCCCAGCTGTGCAGTTTTGAGAAGAGGGTCAAGCCACCCTCCGTGCGCATCAGGTTATGGGAGCACAGCGCTAGGTCCACTGGTTTTACACCCTTTGCTGGACAGTGCCAGAGCACTCAGTACCGTGCAAGATCCAAGCTATGCCAAGCACAAACTCGGATCCCTGGACACAGGGGACACAGTGTTCAGCCAGGTCATGAGACATGGGCAAGTCTCATGGCCCATCAAGGACCCCTGGCCTATCATGCACTTGTCTTGCAGTTCTGGGTCGCTTCCTTTCCTCTATGAGCATAAAGCAGCAGAGTCTTCCCTGCCTGGGTGCCCTCTGCACAGAGAAATCAGGCTCCCATCGGCCTGGTTTGGTTTTTGTCCCACCAGTTTTACATGGCAGTAATGTAATCCCTCTAAGTCTTTTTCCCTTTGGCCCTTTGTCTGAACTCCTTTTGTAATCTTTGTCTCTCTCTTTTTTTTGAAGACTTACCTTCCCCAGCCTGCACTTTGCCCTGACTCTGTCTATAAGCTAATGCTCAGCTGCTGGAGACGAGACACTAAAGATCGTCCCTCCTTCCAGGAGATCCATCGCCTTCTCCAGGAATCAGCCAGTCAAGAATGACCCACTGCTCCCCCACCTAGCCCGGTTCCCCTTCCCATCCCCAGAGGAACCTCATACACAAACTGAAGCCACTTCGCTTGGACTTAGCAGTAAAACCCCGGCAGCTGGTCTTGTTCTCATTGTACAGTAACAGCCTAAGAAGAAAACCCCAAAAGCAACAAGAAGAACCCAGGCAGGTTGGACAGCTTGGACTTGTTTGCTGAACTGAGCTTGGGAGCGACGCGGGCTGAGACAAGAGTTATTTATTGATGCAGCGTGTTCTTGGTGGCAACGGATTTGGACAGAGTGGGTTCTCTCCCCTGTTCAGAGGGGAGGAACGTTAGCTGTATTTTCTCCACGAGGAAGCTCCTGGCCTGTGCCCCAGGAACGCATCTGCAGGAGGACGTGCCCTGGCTATGGACCTGGTAGAGCAAAGGGCTCTGCAGAAAGGCGACCCCGAGCAACCGTGCGTGGATGGGGCTCGGAGGCAGAGAGCACCCCAGAGCCCTGCGGCGATGTAGGCGCTGCCGCTAGCTCACAGTGGGCTGTGCAATTACAGGGCAAGACTGAAGCTCTCGGGACCTCCCCGGCTTTGGGCAGGCTGTGTGGGTGCGGGGGATGCCCCATTCCTGCCTCCCAGCTGCCGGCGGCAAAGGGAAAAGCCCAACCACACTCCTAACTCCTCCGAGCTGCTGGAGCGAGCAGTGTGTCGACCCAGAGATGAAGCTGCCTCCTGCGCGGGAGCATTGCCACGCAGGCACTCGGTGGCTCTGCCACGTGCACCAGGACGCCGTGGGCCCCCCAGTACCGCTGTGGCATGCACTGGAAGGGACCTCCTCTCATCAGACCACGGCCCTTTTAGAGCTGCTCACATGCTGAAGAGGGGCATTTTTGGTGCCCCTCTGGTGCTGTGTGGCAGCCGGGTGTGGGAGCTAAGCGCCTCCCGTGTCTTTCCCTGGGTGGCATTGCAGAGACGTAAGAAAGCCAGCCTCTTTTACCTCTGAGGTAAAACCTCCAGGTTCTCCTCACATCTTCAGCTGTGATGGGGAGAAGGCACATGAAGTTTTGAGACCTGTTGCCAAGCAGGTACCTTGTCCCCCAGTGGCTTGGAGCTGGACAGAGGGCATGGCCAGCCATGGCCATGGTGTCCCTTGCTCTCAGCCCAGGGATCACAGCCTGGCTGAAGTGCCCAGGGTGGACTCTCCAGGCGGAGCCTCTCATGGCACTTGGCATTGGCCCGTTCTCTCATGAGGAGGGATGTGGACCTTTCTGCACCTCTTGGATCAGAGGCACTTGGGGCAAAGTGGACAGATACCCCACAGGAGCCCTGACAGGTTACTCGTCGTGCCCTGAAATCAGGTTCTCCTGCAACTGGCCGGGAGGAACTTTGTGTTTAGAGGATACATGGACCTTCTCACACTTTTGTACACATTAGTTCTGCACCATCAAGTCACACATGGCACAGTTTCCAGTATACCATTGCTAAGGCATGTATATATTCAGTAGATGCACCTACATATGGGGGCAAACCCGCTGAAGAGACACTTGCTACATGGCTCCAGTTTCATGTGTCCTTGCGGCAGGCCAGAAGCCAGCTCACCTCCTTGAAAAGCGTGGAGCCACCTTGGGCACAACCTGGCTGGTAGTGACCGGCCACACGATTGGGGCTCCCGTCACGGCTGGCCAACCTGTTTGGCACGGGGTGTTGTGTGCACCAAGAAATGCAGCGTGTGGGAAGGGTGTCCTGGGGGACCTGTGTGCATGTGCCCTGCAGCGTGGGCAGATGCAGAGCACGTGTGTGCCTGCCAGCAGCAGAGGAGGGGCACGTACGTGTGTGCCCACCAGTGGTGGCAGGTCCGGGGGGGA